CCGGACAGAGAAGAGTTCCTGACTCTGTGTGAGGTTGAGGTGTACGGCTCACGGCTGGATTAGGTCTCACATGGACTCAAACTGAACAACATCACAGTTTAAGCTTCAGTATGACCAGAAGAAAACAATAACGTGTACAGAACCAAGACTATGAACTCATTTACTTTCCCCCCACTTGATAAATCTCAGTAAGTGGTTTTATAGTGAACAGGACAGTGACTGCATTGTTGGGTTTTAATGAAGAGTAAATGCTATGAACACCCCATTGTTGTGATGTGTCAGATCAAATCAGGCAATGAAACATTCTGGTGACATCAGTGCATAAGTGCAGCATCAGCCTGCCGACATTAGATTTGATGTTTGGCCGTGTTTCAGTTCCGAATGCTGTTGTTGAGTTTTAATTCTGATCTGTTGATGTACCGTCACTACACCTGCAGCAGGATGAAGCTCTGCATGCAACCAGCATTATATTACTGCTCAGTCTTGTATGTACCCATGTTGCCCTTTTGATTTCATCACTATTGTTCCGGATTAAAGACTCCCTCATTTGAAGTTTAAATCTTCTACCTTGTTGACATGTCTATATGGTGTTCTATGCTACAGTGGAGCATCTCCCCCCTACCAACCACAGTGTACCAAACCTTTAGGTCTTTCTGTATCATTAGTCTTCTTCAGAATCGGCTTCAGTCCTCCCAACTTGCCATTTTCTAGTGTGCAGCAGTTTTACAGTGTCTGAGCAGAGTCGTAGGTGAGCCGGTGTGCTCAAACTGCAGCGAATGGAGAGCTGTGGGTGAGGAGAGAGCAGGGACTTCGTAGATCTGCACATTCATGGGATTTTTTTTTGCATACGTCATGTTAATACGCAACATTTTTGAGCTTTTAAGGCAAAAAAAAACTCTCTGATGTGACACATTCTGCCGGTTTCCAACCCCCCAGCAACGTTAAACCTGTTTTACTGGCTCGTTGTTTTGTAGACTCACATAAATATATTTACAATCAGCATTTAAATTCTGATTTGTCAGTGTAGAATGAGCTAGCCAGCAGTATAAGAAATACCAAATATTAGTTTCCCACATAGAGGCGACAACAGTTTCTTGGACCATCAATGCATTAATTATTAAAAAACAATATATACAATACACATTTTTCTAAAAGTTCTGAATAGATAGTATATTTTTGAGGATCTCAAGTATATATATTGCTTGTAATACTTTTGTACTTGTATGTAATATTAGGATGATTGCTTCTGTAGTATTGTATTGTTACTGAAGTAAAGTCAGGGATTGGAAGTCGTCGCCTAGCAACCTGCAGGAAAATGGGGTGTGGCCTGCGGGTGAATGGGCGGAGCTTATCCAAGTTTACTGAGAGGAGGCGGAGCAACGAAGGAACAAACACTCTGAGCTGATTCAGCTTTGAAATATTTCACTGTCTGCATACTTTTACTATTTGTGTTGACAGCTCAGATGGTATTTTTGCTTCCTTACTGAAAGAACAGTAACAATCACATTACAGCCCATGATCAGATTAAGACAAATTAAACAGAATAATGCCGTCGTATTCGTGGCTAGAGAGTTGAGTGAACTGCAGAGGATTGGGTGTTTATGTGTGTTTTCAGAGAGCCAAACAGAGGAGTCACTGAAACACCCAAACACTCGGGCGGATTGCGCAAGTTAAAAATGTGCGACTCAGCATTTTTAACATTTACAGTTGTAGTTATTGCTTCCCGTTTTGGTTACAGTCAGAGTTCTGTATAAGAGCCAAGAGCAGGTCAACGCTAGTGGTGGAGGAAGTCACCTCAAAATACTCCACCACAAGTTAAAGGTTTTGCATTCAAACCCTGATCTACTCTCAGAGAAGAGACGTGTTACAAGCATCCTGCAGCAAAAGTCCTCTGTTGACTGTCGATAGTGAGTCCAGCTGGAGCTACTTTTTACTGGCTTTTCCTCTTTTATTCTCACTGAAGATGCTTTAAGGTTATCAAAATGATCTTGTTACCCGCTGAGACAAAGCATCAGCCTGTTCCAGCTCCTCATCCAGTCGACACGATGAACACACCGACAGAAATGCAGAAATATTTGAATGCACAGCACGAGATTGCTCAACTCACAGACATGAACGATCCTAAACAACCATCAGCTCAACGCTGCTTTGCTGTAAGTTGTCAAACTGGTTGGAAACAGCTGATTTAATCTTTCACATGTA